AATAATTTACACTAAGGAAGTCAGGATGTGGAAAAAGACTTAATAGCAGAATGTTTATTTAAGGACTATAACTCATCACATGAAGTTGGAAATACCTGATGTGTCCAATATTAGGGATTAATTAACTGATCATACACCCATAAATGGATTGTACTGTGGCTGTTTATATTACATAAAGGTTCTTTACATTACATAAAAATTATAATAAGTATTTCATAATCTCATATTTGTAAAAAATATGTCTATATGTAGAAAAGAACTTGGAAGCTGTTAACTGATTCTGGGTAGGTGGATGGTGTGTATTTTCTTTTGTTTTTAATACTTTCTAACTTTTCTGTAACTGAATATACATTACTGTAATTCTAGAAACCAAAGTGTCTTTTCAATTAAGAGAGGAAAGTAGGGCTATTATAGCTATAATTTGGCTTAAAAACGGTTGAATCATCTTTCTTTCTCTCTCTCTCTCTCTCTCTCTCTCTTTTTTTTACCATTCCATCAATCCCTCACTCTATAATATACATTAGATTCTTTTTCTGGCTCACATGCTGTGCAATCTGGCTGAGGTAGGAGGAGAAATTCTCTTGGTTTAATTGCTATGGCAACAAGAGTTGAAAGAAATCTTACATATAATTTAGTTTAGTCCTTTTCATTTTATAAAATAAGGAACTCGAGGGAGATCCCAGAGAGTGACCTTTACTTAAGGTCACAAGGTGAGTTGTACAGCAACCCCTCTGATCTCCAGATTCCCGGTTCACTTATTCCCAAGAAACTGGCTTAACATCCCCATCAATGATCCTGGCTGCTAAGCTGGCTTTGGGAAGCGGGTAGAGCATACATGCCAATAGGAAAACCCAAGAGAAATCATCAGTCAGTTAAGCAAAAACACCTAGTTACTTTTATAACACTAAAGGGAACTCCCAAGTGTCAGGAAACAGGAAAAACGTATCAAGAGAACACAGAGGGCTTTCCATGTTGTTGAGCACCGATTCCTTTTGGAGGACACAGATTGGGAAACAAGGTGACTCTGTGATTCAGTCACTCACAAGTGCCCTAGGTTAATGACCACCAGTCCTGTATATGTAAATTAAGTCCTGTATGTGTAAATTAATGCAATATATGTCCTTAAGTAACAAAATAGTTGATATATTTATGGTAGACTGCCAACTTCTAACAAGGTAATAACTGTGTGGCTTTTCATATATTTACTTTTTTCCGTGCATAAACAAAAAATCTGAATAACACATATCAGTGGTTCTAAATGTGGTCTGCAATCCTTGCGGGTGGAGGCATGGGCAGGGGTCTTTGGGGTTAAAAGTACTCCATAAGAATACTAACACAGCATTTACTTTTTCCACTTGGTTGACATTTGCACTGATGACGGAAACTGTTGGCACCTTAGAACAAATCAAGGCAGTGGCACCAAACTACCCGAACAGTTGTACTCTTCACTGACACTCCCTTATGCAAAAAATAATGTCAATTTCACTTTAGATGTCGTTGATGAAACGGTTAAAAAGTATTAATCTTACTAAAACTCATCTACTGAGCATGTATGTGTGGCAAAGCATGAACAAAGCACTTCTGCATTCTTGGACATAATGGCTGTCCAGAGGATTTGGAAATCAAAAGCAAGGGAAGATCCTGTGAGGACCTAGAGGACAGCCATCTGCAAGCCAAGGAGCGAGGCCTCAGGGAACCAACCCTGCTGACATCTTGATCTCAGACTTTCAGTGCCCAGAACTGTGAGAAAATAAATTTCTGTAGCTTAAGTCAACAAACAAACAAACAAAAGACCCCACAAAAGCACTTGTGCAATTGATTGAATCGTGAGCCAAAATAGCTGCTTTTTTCCCTAAAACACTGTCTGTCCTTGAAAAAAAGGACTGATGGACAAACTGTGGTTATTGAGAAAACATGTTATTTAAAAAACCTGTCACTTAGAGGACAACTGACAGTATGTCACCAATGATAAAATTTCAGCTTTCAAATGAAAATTTTGAAAAATTGTATCTGCCATTGTGAGCCTGCCAGATTCCTAATACTTAAGACTTTTATGATGACATGGATAATGATATTAAAAGGAATATGATTGATACTGTGAAAGAAATATGTCAAAATTAGGAAGATCTCTTCAACACAATGAGCCACTATTTTCCAAATGAGTATGTTTGATATTATAAAATCATGCATAAGTATTAGATCCATTCAAAATATAAGACAGACCCATGATTTTAATGTTAACAGAATAATAGAAGTACTGGTACATTGATAGTTTCATATTCCACATTGCAACTAACCTTTAAAAAACCACCACTTGTCAAACTTTGATGAGTATTAAATATCTATGACTATCTAAAAGAGTTGTTAAGGCCTAACTGGTTTGGCTCAGTGGATAAGAGTGTTGGCCTGCGGACTGAAGGGTCCCAGGTTTGATTTCAGTCAAGGCATGTACCTTGGTTCTGGGCACATCCCCAGTAGGGGGTGTGCAGGAGGCAGCTGATCGATGTTTCTAACTCTCTATCCCTCTCCCTTCCTCTCTGTAAAAAATCAATAAAAAATGTATTAAAAAAATAATAAAATAAAATAAAAGAGCTGTTAAAATATTCTTTTTTTCCAACTACATGAGTGAAAGGTGGGATTTTCTTCATCTTCTTAAGCCAAAACAAACAGTGCAACAGATTAAATGCAGAAGCAGATGTAAGAATCCAGCTATTCTCTATTAAGTCACACATTTGTTTTTGCCAAAGTGCAAAAGAACACCACTCCTAGGATGTTTCTTATAAAAAAACAAACCAACAAAACACACACACACACACCACAAATGTTGGTGAAGATATGGAGAAATCGGAATTCTTGTGCATTGTCAATTGGAATATAAAATGATACAGATGTGATGAAAAACAGTATTGTGGCTCCTCAAAATATTAAACATAGAATTATCATATGATCCAGTAATTCTACTTCCAGGTATAGATCCCAAGGGATTGAAAACAGACTCAAACAGATATGCACACACCAATGATCATAGCAGCATTATTCAAAATGGCCCAAGGGGGTTAACAACCCAAATGTCCATGGACAGATGAAGGGACAAACAAGATGTGGACTATCTATAAAGTGGACTATCATTTAGTGTTAAAAAGGAAATTCTGATGCATGCTAAAATATGGATGAACCTTAAAAATATTATGCTAAGTGAATTAAGTCACTCACAAGTAAACAAATATTATAAGAGGTACCTAAAATAGTCAAATTCATAGACAAAAAACATAGTTGTTACTGGGAAATGGGAGAGGGGATAATGAGAAGTTATTGTTTAACTAGAGGCCTGGTGCACAAAATTCATGCATGGGTGGTGTCCCTCAGCCCAGCCTGCACCCTTTCTAATCTGGGACATCCCTCTCACAATCAGAGACCACTGGCTCCTAACCACTCGCCTGCCTGATCGCCCCTAACCACCTCTGCCTACCTGCCTGCCTGATCACCGCCTAACTGCTCCCCTGCCGGCCTGGTTGCCCCCAACTGCCTTTCCCTGCCACTCAGGTCATCCCCAACTGCCCTCCCCTGCACCGCCTGATTGCACCCTTAACTGCTTGCTCCCCCGCTGTGGACTGATCACACCCCTAACTGCTTGCTCCCCCGCACCGGCCTGATTGCACCCCTAACTGCTTGCTCCCCTGCACCGCCTGACTGCACCCTTAACTGCTTGCTCCCCGGGGCCGGACTGATCACACCCCTAACTGCTTGCTCCCCTGCACCGCCTGACTGCACCCTTAACTGCTTGCTCCCCCGGGCCGGACTGATCACACCCCTAACTGCTTGCTTCCCCGCACCGGCCTGATTACACCCCTAACTGCTTGCTCCCCAAAGCCAGCCTGATTGTCCCTAACTGCCTCTGCCTTGGCCCCTGCCGCCCTGGCTTTATCTGGAAGGAAGTTGGACGTCTGGAAGATGTCCGGTCGGTCCAGTCTAACTAGCATATTACCCTTTTATTAGTATAGATGGATATAGTTTCAGTTTGGGATGTTGAAAAAGCTTAGGAAAAACATGATGGTAATGGTTACAAAAAAATGTGAATGTACTTAATGCCACTAAATTGTGCATTAAAAAAAATGATTAAAATGGTAAAAAAAAAAATTTTGTTAATCCTCACCCAAAGATATTTTTTCCATTGATTTTTAGAGTGAGTGGAAGGCAGGGAGGGAGGGGAAAGAGAAAGAGAGAGAGAAAGAAACATCTACGAGAGAGACACACATCATTTGGATGCCTCCTGCACAGGGATCGAATCTGCCACCCAGGTATGTGCCCCAGGCTGGTGCTCCAACCACCGAACCACACTGGCCAGGGCTAAAATGGTAAATTTTGTTATGCCTATTTTCAACAATTTTAAAAAGCTGGGGAAAAACCCCACAAGAAATAATAACCCCACAATGCCACTCTCCTGTTTTTTTTTGGACAAGTTTTGGAAAATACTTTTATTAATAATGTTATTTTTCCATGTATGAGTTTATTAGTTTTTAAAAATAAACTAATAAATACTTGAAAAATCTCCCAGTTTTCATTTCTAATATACTGGTAGTAAAAATGGAAATACACAACTCACATAAAAAGCTCTTAGGTCCTGAGTAATTTTTGGGAGGTAAAAGAGCTCTGAGACTAAAAAATTTGAAAACCACCGTCTTACATGAAATTTATTCTCTCTTCTCTCACTGCATTATGTGAACATCTTCATCTGTTAGTACAGCTTTAGTTGCCAGCTATACCACTTGCAGCCTGCAGACTAAAAGGACAGCTTGAAATATGGTCAAAATCATCTTTTAAATTATTATTGTCCCCAGATGCATCCTAACCCTAAGGACTGAACAACACACAGATCAGTGGCAATGTACAATAGAAAACCATTAAAAACCTTAAATACTGGTATGTTCCAAGGCGTTTTAGAAGTATCAAGTAAGAAACACAAATTTTCTTTTTTCTGTTGGACCTTCATTCAGACTTACAGTTCAAGGATAGATGTGGGAATGGAGGGGCAGGACATTGTTTCTGAAAACCACTCCATCCAGCGCATCGGTGCAAAGAATTTCATTCTCTTCCCATTTTGCTACTGATCTGTTGCAGAGGGGTGGGGTTAGGGAGCGAGGAAGCAATCCAAAACAGCAGCTGAGGCTGCCCCAAACCGTGTCCAAGCAATAATTCCCTCCATTTGGAGCCAAGTCAATTTGCCCCGGCAAGAGGCCGAATGTTTCATGGGGGAAGAGGTAAATAAAAGGATATTAGCATGGACGGAAATCAGCAAAACCACAGCGGTTTCATCTTGTGTGGACGTTACATGATCTGCATGCTAAGTGTGTGTGGTGGGGCAAATGAAAATTGCTTTTCCTGAGTCTACAGCTGCGGCACTTTTAAAGACGGGTCTGCACTTCTGGGTGGGGGCGAAAGTCAAATGATTTTCTCATCCGGACCATCTTACTGCACTCATTTGGGGCCGAGGCTGGGCCAGCCTTGCGGACTGCAGCGGAGGCAGCTCCAAACAAAGGGGAATGGATGGCCTCCCGAGGGGGCGGAGGAAGGAAAGGTGGCCCTCACCTCCTGGCCCCAGGTGTCCCCAGGGTAGACCGAGTGGGTCGCGGGGAGGGGGCGGGGGGTCCGAGGAGCGTCGTAGGGGTGCGGTCGGAAAACGCTGGGCCGGGCGCCCCCTCGGCCAGGGCACAAGACCCCGCCCTGCCCACGGTCAAGGTTACCACGCGCACCGGAGGTACCTGTGGAGGCCTCGCACAGCCGAAAGGCACTGGACGATCATGGGAGCGCCGAGAGGCAGCGGCGGCGGCGGGCGCGTCGTCCTCCGGTTTGGGGGTGGGAGAGGCGGGGCGCCGGGGAGCCGGGAGGCGGCCTAGCGGAAGAGAAAACGGCGGCGGAGGAGGCAGCGGCAGGTCCGGCCCGGCCTCCCACGTGCGGCAGCCCCACGCCGGCGCCCACTCCAGCCCCGCCCTCGCCCCGCCCCGCGCGTCCTGCGCCGCCCCAGGGGCGGTTCTGGTGAGACCCAGCAGCTCGGAGCACAGCGCGCACCCCGGTGGGCGCACATCCTGGTGGGCGGCGGGGGCCTGGGCGGCGGGGAAGTTGGGGCTGCCGCTGGCAGAGCTGCGATCCGGAGCCAGGTCAAGCCCCGAGGACGAGGGGCGGACGGACCCGCTGACGGACACCGCGGGCCCGCTGCCACGGTCTCGCGTCCTCCATCGGGTAAGGGGCTTCTGTCTGGGAAGGGTGCGTCTCCCGCCGCCCGGACGGGGCCTGCACCGCGCACCCTGCAACATCGGTCAGGGCGGAGGCGGGCCGGGTACCGAAGGGAGGAAGGAGGAGGTGCCCGTGCCCTGGGGAGAATGAGGAGAGAAGCCTGGAAGAGGTTGGACATTTCCATTCCCCTCGGCACCCCCTCACCCCCCCCCCCCCCCATTCTTTTCTCATCTTCTGCCCTGGGGCCTTTTTTAGTACTTGCAACCCCACGGCCTAGAGGCGGGGCTCGCTTTTAAAACAAGCACACAAATAATAAACATCCTAGCGGCGGGTACCACACCCTGGCTTTGAATTAGGGACCGGGGAGCAGGTGGACGATGCGATTTAGTGGAAATAAGCCATTAATGCCGGCTGGCCCTGCGCCACTGTTTGGATGCGATAGTATTCCATGTGAATGAACATGACCCAGAGCTTCCAGCTTGTCCACGAGAGCACAGCTACTGCAGAGAGCACTGGTCGGTGTATAGTATCCATCGACTTGGGCAACGATTTCCTGACATGTCTGGTGATTAAATACGAATGCCATTTTTTATTAAGAATGGCACTCAGTGATTGAAAACCTCTCGTTATTATACTTCATCAAATACCTGTCCCAGCCTACAAAAGTAGGCGGAGTGTAAATTATGTATACATTTTTAAAATCTCATGGAATAGAGGAAGATGCTTAGCGTGGATCAGCTTCTGAGTCAGCAGTATGAAATCTCCCTCCACTAAGTCCTGAGGCCTTTGGGGGGATTTCTACCCCTGTAGCTCTACCCCAATCCTTATTTCTATCTGTACCATGCATACTGGTAAGATATAGTGAGATATTCAGTGAGAGTCAAAGCTTAATGTTATATATGTTTTGAGAAAAACTTCCTTTTGCGAGGTTTGTGCTTTTGCAAGATATAAATGAAAATATATAATGCATGACCATAAGAACACTTTATGCTCACCTGACTCTTAGAAAACAGAAAGGAGTGAAGGTAATACAGATTTTAGTTGTTGCTTTTTACTTCCAGTGTCATTTATAACCTTTGTCGTTTATAACCTTTCTGGCTGATTCTTTAAAATATCTTAGTTCAGTGTTTTCCTTTTTCTTAACAAGGAAAAGTACTGAAACTTAAAAAATGTCATCTATCAAGCACCTAGTTTATGCAGTTATTCGTTTCTTACGGGAACAAAGTCAGATGGATGCTTATACTTCAGATGAACAAGAAAGTTTGGAAGGTAGGCAGCTGTTTTTATGTTCATTTGTATTATAATTATAAATACAAACTAAAATAGCTGTAAGCCTGGCTTTATGACGTATTGTAACAAAATCAAAATAGTTTGTTACCTTTCCAGAAGAGAGACCTAACCTAAGGTAATCATGAGTTTCCATTTTCTGAGTTGTTTGTTTTAATTAACAAGATAAGAGGACTATTGTTTATTTACTGAACAGCTATTATATGTCAGAATTATGCTATTCCTATTGTAGGGAATTTTTCTTCACAGTGCCTGCTAAATTAGTATTATCCCCAATTAACAGATAAATAAATGAAGCCAGGTTAAGTAACAGAACACAGCTAACATGTAGCAGAGGTGAGATTTAAATCCTGGTTCCTCCTCCGAAGATCTTGTTGTATCTTCTTAATAGGAAAGCATTGAGTTGAGAATCAATGAAAATACCTTAGTCATTATGAAAGCACCATGTAAAAGTCTAATAATTATATCATATTATTCTCTGACAACTTCCTATTTGGGGACTTGGGATGAGAGGACTGCACCCTTGTTCTCTGTGAGCTTTAAATAGTAGATTCGGTAATCTGTTCAGTTGAGCAGGACTTGCAGGATAGCATCACATGCTTCCTTGACAGCATCTTTTCTGCTTCATGTTTCTCCATTATCAAAGTACATTTAGTATAACCATAGCACGGCAGAATTCTGCACATGGGCTTGTGGAGGGTCAATGAGCCCAGCTTCCTTATGGCCTAGAGACTTAATTATTGCAATGAGACAGTGCATTTGGGAGAACATAAATAACAGTACAATTTGAATTCCCCATCTTGAAGCTGTTTCTCCTATGAAGGGGACACATCTATTAATTTTAACAAGCCCTTCCCTTGTGAATATGCGTTTAGGAGGTGGGGATGAAAATTGGGCCTTTGCTCTAAAACTGCTTGCAGTCGGTGGGATGATGTTTTTCCAGGTGGCAGTGAGGGAAGCAGGTGACACAGTTGGAGAACGTTGCAATCAGTCCATTTAATATTAAGGTTGGTTAGAGTATGTGAAGGGAAGGTGACTGGTTACCTAAGGAGGGTGTTGGTTATGGCTGTTCTGTAGCAAACAGGTAAATGCAGTCATTTACTAAAAGATGTTTCTTCTCTAATCAAAGGCAGTATCATACTTTTAAGGGCCAGAAGGAAAATTCAGTTTAAAAACACACACAAAAAAACAAGATGTTGTATCCTATTTTTAGAATGGTGTTCAGCCAAAATTATGTGCCTTCAGCTGTTTCTTATACATGGCACCCGGAAATGGTGCCAATTGTTTTTGACCAACCCCTATTTTTGATTCTGTGAGTCTAATTTTATTGAATATGAGATCATGTGGAGATGTCTGCCCACCTTCTAGACATTTAAAAAAGCCTTAGAAAAGAAGCTTAAGTTCTGGTACCAGCTGTACCACCACAATGAGCTGGTATATTCTTGGCTTTGAACCTTTCCTTAGTTTGTCACCCACTCCTCCTAATGGTTGCCATCTCCTGACAACTACTTCACGTTTTGAGGGTTGTGGCTCCTGCTCACTGTCACTCTCTCTAGCACTACTCCTGTCTTCATTCTTGGCATTTGCAATATACTCACAGCTGATTCTTGCAGTTCCCTTGGCTCTCAGTTTCTTGACCTTCTTCCCTCCAGTGATATGATTCCAACCACTCACTCCCTTGGTCAGACCCTCGACCAGTAGTCCTCAACTCGGTGATTTTACAATGTCTGGAGATATTTTTTACTGTCACAACTGCGGAGCTGGTATTACTGGCACTGAGTGGATAGAGGCCCTGGATGCTGCTACAATGCACAGGATGGCCTCCAACAACAAAGAATTATCTAGTTCAAAATGTCAGTAGTGCCAAGGCTGAGGAACTCTTCCCTGAACTTCACCACCTTGGCATTCCCTCCATAATCACTATCTTAATAATTTTATTTGACCATGATTGCTTGTCTTGCCAGCTCATTCCCTCTTGAATCCCTCCCCAAACAATTCTTCTGCCTTACCAAGGCCTCCAATCTCTTGACCCCTTACCTTTTCACATCCCTCTTCTTACCCAATTTAAATTCCATAGTTGATCATTATAATCACACTCTTGTATATCCCTCCCTTCCTTGCAAAACCCAACCTTGTTTAAATCCAGTTCTTCATCTACTTTCTCATATCCATCTGAATATATATAGATGGAGCAAAATACAACCTTGCTGACTAGTCCCACTTCAAATTCATGATCATAAGAGACAGAAAGAGAGAGAGAGAGAGAGAGAGAGAGAGAGAGAGAGAGAGAGAGAGAGGAGAGAGAGAGAAAGAGAGAGAGAGAGAGAGAGAGAGAGAGAGAGAGAGAGAGAGAGAGATGTGAGAGAGACACATTGATTGGTTCCCTTTTACATGTGCCTTGACTGGGAATCTAACCCAAGACCCTTTGGTAAGAGGGCTGATGCTCTAATCACTGAGCCAAACAGGCCAGGGCATGGCCCAATGTTTTTAGTGCAAGTATAATTGAAGTGTAAGAACAACTGCTTGGGTCCTGGCCAAGTAGCTCAGTTGGTTAGAACGTGGTCCCAATATGCCAAGGTTGTGGGTTCCATCCCCACTCAGGGCACATACAAGAATCACCCCATGAATGTATAAATAACAAATCGATGTCTCTGTTTCTCTGTCTTTCTCTCTCTCCTTTCCTCTCTTTAAAACAAACAAAAAAAAGAACAACTGCTTGGCAGAAGTAAAAAGGTGGGGGGGGAGGGGCGGATTGAGGGATAGGTAAACAGTAGATTACTAGTATTTTCTATCTAAAAGACACTTTGACATTTTGTAGTTGGTAACTTATAACTTCCTTATTCAGTCCCTTTTCTAAGGAGATTGTTTCTGTGGGTAGTAAAAGTAGTAATGCTTTTTTCTTGATAGATATTTTTCTCAGGACCACAGTTAATACATAACGTATCATTTAAAAGTCATGCACAAATCTAAGTGAATCTGTTCCACACTGTCTGGAAGCACACTTGACATTTTGGCCACATTCTTATCTTGTTAAGCCAGGAGAGCACTCCTTTTAAAAGGAGCACTAGAAGGGTAAGAATCTGCCTCCATTCCTCCCAGTGGGCACTTGTAGAGAGGACAGGATATGCTTTCTTCACTGTCACTGCCCTAGTTCAGACCCCTGACTTGTTTAGACCATTTAAGTGGGGACCCACTGGTTTTTTGCTTTCATTTTTTCTCTTAGCTTCCTTCCCTCTCTAATCCATTATCAACCTTTCTACCAGACTTCAGTTCTGAACACAAATCCAGTTATGTTATTCTCCTAACTAAATTCTCTAATAGCTCTCTGTTTGCCCACAGCATTAAGTCCACAACCTTTACAAATGTGTACGGTGTCTTGTCATACAACAACAGACTTCCTTTCTAGTGTAAGTGCCCACCATGTCTCCCCACCCAGTCCGTACCTGAGTTATACACCAAAAGCAGATAATGACTTGCTTCAACAAAATATGATGTAATAGATATATTGAGAATTATACTCTAAGTAACGTTTTTCTTAAGTGAGGAATAAGAAATCAAGTTGTCTTCCCTGAATTGCTGGTCTATAAACAGAAATCTCTATTCAGCTCAACCTTATGTACTGTGATCATAAAGGCTGAATTACCACAGATGGCAATAGAGCGCAGATTTCTACAAAAAAAAAAAAAAAAGATTGTTTCTTTTTTAGTTTGCTAACTTTTGTTTTTTTCACTGTTAAAATTTGTCTCAAGTTGCAATTCAGTGCTTGGAGACAGTTTTTAAAATCAGCCCAGAAGATACACATCTAGCAGTTTCACAGCCTCTGACAGAAATGTTCACAAATTCCTTCTGTAAGGTAAGCTGTCATTGTCTTCTCATTAGTATCTGAGTTAAGTTCGACTATAGTATTATGTTGGATTTGTTCACATTTGAGGGGTCAGGCCTATAAGTAACTAACTTCTTTCTGGATATAAGACAGTCCACATGGATATGACTTGTGACCTAAAGCATAATTCTTTTAATGTGCTTTAGATTTTCATATTAGTAGTTATTCTCATCCTCTCGCCTTCTTTTATATTTAATACGTCTTAGTTGACTTTTTAAGTCCTTTACAGTATCAGAGCATTTTTAGATTTCTGACATCTGAATTGACATTCTCCTAAGACATGGATTATAAGTTGAAAACAAAAGGTTTAATGTTTAGGAAGTAACTGCATAGAAATAGATTCATCAGAAATTGAATCATCATTTTGAAGCAGATGTAATCAAGTTTGGCCATTGATGGGCTCTTTAAAACAGGGAAAGGTAAAATAATAAATAAAATAAAACAGGGAAAGGTTCAGGGTCAATGTGCAAAACTAAGATTGAAACCCACTTTTTCTGATTCCTTCTTCTAACAGTGTCTCTGGTTTCTGGCCTCTTCAGGAAACATGGACCATAAGATTGTCTGAAAAAGTTTAAGTTTAGTGACTTTGAGGCCCACAGTGACGTCCCATTTTTTCATTACATTTTGGTGCCTCATGAACTTTTGTTTTTCTCGCTCTGTGCTCAATCTTCAGTACAGAATGGGGAACTGGGGAGAAAACCTGAATCATTTAAAAATGGAAAATGTGTGTGTTTCCAATGTCACTCAAGATATTTGTAAATTTTCATTTAGTTCATAAGTGCCTTTGCTTTAAATCTTTTTAATGCAAAGGGAGTTTGACGATGATTGGAGGTGCTAAAAACAGGGATTTTATACTGTTTTTATCTTATGGTAAAATTAATATATTCTCATTGTTTTTAAAAAAGTCGGACAGTATGGAAAGACATAAAGAAGAGACTGAAACTTTTATCTCCAAATATTACAACTGTTAACCTTTTGTGTGTGCCCTTCCAGGCTTTGTTTTTTAGACTGTGTGTATGTGTGTGCACATATTTAAATAATAGGATCTTATAATAAATATTTTTGTTGGTAAACTGTGAATTTGGCTTACTAAGATATCTTTTAGGATATTAAATATTATATTTCAAAATTTTCACTAATATAAGCAATCCCTTGAACATATTTCTATTCCTATTTTTCATATACTGATTCCATTTTATGTCCATGAAGTAGGATTTCTGGGTATAGGGAAAGCAAGTAAAAAACAAAATTTTGAGTCACAGTTGCCCATTATCTTCTAGAAAAATTCCACATATTCTTTCTCCTAATAAAAGTAAAGGCTTTCCCCTGTTCTTGCTAACACTATCATTTAGGTGTTAGATTTCATGGTGTGGAATTACAGATGATTTACTGTGAAATGGGTAAATCAGTCCATTATTACATTACTTATTGTTCTATTGGATGACTCCTAATGTAGCTAAGTGGAAGTATATTAAATTTTTATTTATTTCAGAATGACATTCAGCCTCTCTCAAACTCAGTACCTGGAGATGTGGGAAAAGCTGACCAATTAAAAGATGAAGGTAAATATTTCATAGAAAAATTATTTACTTGGTAAAACTTTCTGAAACTCTGGATAATGTGACTCTATCAATGGATAAGATTCTGGTTTATACTGTGAAAGAGAAATGAAAGTGATAGAGAAGAAATCTAAAAGTATAGAAAGGTTTGTGGCTTTTCTCAAGAGAACCAGATCTGTTGTGTATAAAACATGCAAAACAAATAACTTAAGGGTCATCACTTGTAACTGTCTTTGTGTATACTCTAGGATCCCAAGTTCTCCTTTATGCTTAATCAAAGAGATGAAGATAATTGTCAGTATTATTTTAACTTTTGTATATTTAGTGTTTTTGAGTTTTTTGAAATTTTTCTTCTAGCCAACTAGTACCTTCCTGAAAATTGCTTTCAATTATTTTTGCGTGCTTTGCTTCTGAAGAGCGACAGAAAGAACAGATGAAATTAAGAAGAGTTCTTTGTTGTTATTCCCTGACACATCACAGAAATATTGGTATATTTGATAGGGTTGTTTTGATCATTAAAGGAGACAATTTTATAGGAGAGGGCCATGTGACTATAAAGTGCTGTGTAATGCTTAGTTATATTTATCTTCACAAAATTCATCATTTGTGTCTTAAGTTTTGCATATTACATATTTTGTAACTTGAAGCTTTTTCATCAATATGTATAAATGTATTTATACATGTAGTATATGTATACTATTGTCTCTATACATTTGAGGTGGTTTAGAGGAAAAGACATACAATAGGTTTTAATAATAATAATAATAATGTAATGATAATAAAACACCATCCCAAGACAAAAGGTTCCAATGGAAACAAGGACATCCAAATAACTCAGAAAACGTAAATCTTTTACATGGAAGAAGCAAATTTCTTTAAGTACTTCAGCTAATGTAGTTAACGTCTTAATCATAAAAGCTGTGTATTCTTCTTAGCTGCTTTAAAAACATTATATTCATTTCTTTTTGTGCGTGGGGAGAAAATTAATTTTCTTAACTTTAAAAAAAGCCTTATTGAGCTATAATTCACATACCATTGCAATTTACTCCTTTAAAGTATATAAATTCATTGGTTTCTAGCAGATTCACAGAGTTGTGTAGCCATCACCATAATTATAGAACATTTTTATTGCCCTCCAAAGAAACTGTGCACCCATTAACAGCCACTCTGTATTCACTTCTGACTTAATTTGCAGTAACTTTTTATGATTTTAAGTGCTTTTGTCTACCTGCATTTAATTTAATCTTCCTGTTTCTGTTCCTGCAAAGAACAAAAAAACAAACAAAAATCCACTCATCCTTCTCCCGTTAATTAGCTAATGATCTATTAAAAACAAACCTAATAGGAGAACTTCTGGTTTAGAGACAGGTGGAGGAATAATAGAGCCTTTTGGGATGTAAATCCTTTCTCCTAGTGTTTTAAAATTTTTATTTTTTTAAGAATCAGATCTTTTTTCTCTTTAATGGAATACAAAAGATAGCCACAAGAAATTCCATTGTTAACCTAGCTAAATTATTCCTGGTGTATCTGCAGATGTTCTTCCTGAAAATCAGTACCCTGTGGGCTAGCCATGTATCTGAAATTTTGTCTTTCTAGCAATTAATGTCTAATAAGCTCCTTTTCAAAAGAATCTGTGTCTGGAGGAGATAGCATACAAAAGTATTATCTGCCAGTAACATATTAGCATGATTAGCCTTACAGCTTACCCACACAGCGGTGGTGAGGGCTTGGCTGCTCAGCAGATGGACGTTTTGACAGGGAAGGAGCAGAAGGCCAGGTCTAGATTGAGGTGACAGTTGAGGAGGGTGCTGCATTAAGATGGGGTGGCTCTAAAGGAAGGGAAGAGATGAAGATAAGGAAGGTGGGAATATATTAATTTTTTCCATGAGGTAATCATAATTGTTGCATTTACTCACTTATTGAAGCCTAAATTTTATAAGATATACCGGTACAAATATTAATTTTATTAAGACTCCACATTGTTGAAATCATTCAAACACACCGAAGACTGAAGCATATCAACTCCATTGTACAATATAAAATTTATCTCCTATGTTACTGAAAAATCATGTTGATCACTTTCATATTATTGGAGTTTCTGTGATTAAAATTTATCTTTCAGACTTTACATTTTCCCACATATTGTCTTACTGTACCTACTGATTAATTTATTTTAGGCAATAACCACATGAAAGAAGAAAATTATTCTGCTGCAGTGGATTGTTACACACAGGCAATAGAACTGGATCCAAATAATGCGGTTTATTACTGCAACAGGTAAACTGGCATAATTGTGACAGGCTTACAGCTCTAAAGCATTTGCATTAATAGCTCTGAAGGACACCTATAAAATTCATGGATAAAGAAGGAAAACAACAAACCCCAAACTCATACACTTTCCATTAAAGCAACCTCTGTTACTAACCTCTTGGCATATTTTGTTTGATGTGTTATCAGTTTTAGATTCAGCTTTATTCACTAGGCAGATCATTATTCTTTTATTGAAATCCGTCATAAATATTATTTAAGTTGACATAAATTAGTGTATTATTACCTCTTCATCTTTTTTATATTTATAGCACCTATCATTGTGGTGGCAAACACTGTATTCTTTTACTAAATGGATAATGTATCTTAATTTACTTAACTGTTGACCTACTGGGAGACATTGCGGTTCTTTCCTATCCCCCAATATTATAAAGCTGCAATGAACATCTTTCTGAAATTATTATTTTTTTTTTAGACTTTGGATTTATCCTTGAAAATTCACTCAGGAGGTCTAACAACATAAACATTTAAAAATTGTTGATGCAAATTACAAAGTTATTCCAATTTCTTTGAAAATATTCTGAAAATTAATTTCCTCTCCTAGGATTGTATGAGTGTACATGTTTTTTCTACACCTTTATTGTTATTTAATATTGTTATTTTCACAGTAATTGTTTTAATTTATATTTAATTATTGCTGAGGTTGGACATTTTTCAAACGTTGGCCATTTGTGGTTTCCTTTTTAATCTAAATGATCTTTTTGTACCCGTGCCACACCTTACCTGTGTGCCCTTACACTTCTTTCTTTCTTTCCTTGTTCTGCCTTTTAAACAGAGCCTGTCTCCTATAGGCTGCCTTTTTCAGGCTCCTTTGTCCCCTGAGTTTGGGCTGGGTTCAGCTAGGGGAGGTGTTGGCAGGAGCCTGGCGGGCAGAAGGAAGGGAGAAGTTGTGGTATTTCTTCCCCTCTTTTGACATCAGGGGGTTTATCCAGCAGGGGCTGCTTCTCATCCTGGTGTCTAGCTCCCACCCAGGGTCCCTGCTATCCCAGCTTTTACCAGGTGATGTTGGGTTTATGGGCTCTGCCGTTCATCCTCTGTTTCAGGAAGTAACGGCTTCCTGTTACTGCTGGTCTCCGGATTGCTGCACAGCCTCCTGTTTGGTACCTCAGCTCTTCTATCAGCCGTGTAATGAATTCCCTGCACTAAGTTATTCTGTTTTAAATATCGAAGTCCCAATAGAAGTTTCTGCAGTGATGACAAAGTTCTCTATCTGCATTGTCCGATACAGTAGCCACTATCAAGAGTTGCTCTTGAGTACTCATAATGTGGCTAGTGCAATTGAGAAACTAAATTTTTAATGTTTAGTTAATTAATTTAATTTTGTATAGCTGCATGCGGCTTGTGCTACTATACTGGTATGACCATTTTAACCAATCTGAAACTTTTTATAAAAGAGCTTATGCACCTTGTAGTCATTAGGTTCACTAGGATTTGTACTTGGTTTGTTAAATTTGGAGTTGAATCTCAGTTTGGCCACTTACTAGCTACGTGACCTTGGGCAGCCACTTAACCTTTTTGAGCCTCATTTCCTTGTAAAATAGAGATAACAGTAGTTGTGAGGAGTAGTAATATAAAGTCCCTAGCATAGTCCTAGGCCAGTGATGGCGAACCTTTTGAGATCGGCGTGTCAGCATTTTGAAAAACCCTAACTTAGCTCTGGTGCCGTGTCACATATAGAAATTTTTTGATATTTGCAACCATAGTAAAACAAAGACTTATATTTTTGATATTTATTTTATATATTAAAATGCCATTTAACAAAGAAAAATCAACCAAAAAAATGAGTTCGCATGTCACCTCTGACACGCGTGTCATAGGTTCGCCATCACTGTCTAGGCTTTCAATATATGTTTCTTTCGGAAACAATCTAATTTCTAGTTGTAGGAACAGGTTTTTGGTATAATTTATTTATGCATAATAAATACAGGGTGGGGAAAGTAGGTTTACAGTTGTGAGTACCCAAAACACAGAGTTTATTCTGGTATTGCTATTTATTAATTATTGTATTATTTTCCATACAAACAACTGTAAGCCTACATTTGCCCTCCTCTGTAGTATGGGAAATGTAAGGTACCTGTGATTTTTCTGCCTTATTTTTCATAAAAATAGAGTGAAAATAACTCATGCTCTTGCTCTAACAAGCTAAAGAAAGCAAGGTTACCTGCAAACATGGTGACTGACTGTAGTGTTATGCTGGAATTTCATTAGTTATGCCCTGATAACCAGACAGCAGGGGCAGACAGCCCAGACCACATTGTTATTCAGTTCAGACACTGGTATGTTTGGCTTCATCTCACAAGAGATTCAGATGTAGCCTGACTCCTATTCCCTTTTCCGGCCTCAGAGGTCTTCCTTTTGTGAGCTGCACAAATCTGCTTTCATCCTAGCTTGCAGTTGGTGATCTGAAGCTAAAGCTATCAAGATTGAAAGTCATCCTCTTCTCTCTTCCATCCACTCTCCTTTCTGGGTCTGACTCTTACGGCGTTAGTCCTTGTTTCATTATCAGTATCTAAGGCCAGCAATCGGGGCGTCTTCTGCTGTTTCCCTTTTACCTCCCCAATAGCTCATTTGTTCCCTCCTCCTTTTCCATCACTGCTCCTTAGTCCAGGCGATTAACTTTTGCTAGACTAGTGGTTTACAGTTTCAACTTGCACTCCCCACTCCCGTCTTCTGCCCAAAGGATCTTTCTAAAATGTGAAGTTAATCATCTAATTCTTCCTTTCTGTTCACTAGTTGTAAATACTTTCATGATTGAATTTAAGCTCCTCAGCATGATACATAAGATCTTTTATAATCTGGGCTCTTTTTTTCTTTTAGCTTTATTAGCTCTACTTTCCTTCCTCTCCTGTTCCTCTTCTCTCTACTCTCTATGCACATGTAATATGAAATTTACTGACTAAAAACATACCATGTTAGGACATCTCTCCATGCTTTTATGTACTCCTTCCTCTGCCTAGAATATTTCCTGCCTTATCTAATTGGTCAACTGCTAGTCATCCTTCAAGGCCCTGGTAGGGATTGCTTCTCTTGGGAAGACTTCCTTAATTTCTTTTGTCCGCAACCTCCTGGCCATTCCCCTACGCCCTTTCCTGCCACATCCAATGGAGGGGTGCTGTCCAATATGGTAGCTCCTAACCACGTGCAGCTGTTCAAAATGTAAATTAATTAAAATTAATAAAATAACAAAGTAAAAATTAATAAAATAAAATTGCACTAGCTTAAGTACGCTTTAGTCACATGTGGCTAGGCGTTACTGTACTGGCTAGCACAGACAAAGAACTTTGCTATCATGTTAGTTCTAGTAGATAGCTCTGCGTAGGGTTAACCACACCTTTCCGTGTTGTCTCTTCCTTTGATACTTCCATTGTATTCCTCATACTATTTATTTATTTACATGTCTATTTCTCTATTAAACAGGGAAAGATTGGAAGACAGAGATATATTTTCTCCATTTCTGTATATCTGCCTGGTTTTGAGTTCAGGGTTTAACATGTTATAGATGTTCAACAAAAGTTTGAGTTGAATTGATTCGGTGAATTTTAGAAGGGAGAATTGCCTCAACTTGAAGACTTCTAATGTGAAGCAGTCACATGGCAGCATGTTTTATATATGTGTGTGTATATATACTATTTCCTCATATATGTCTATAAAGAAGAGCTTTCTTAACCTTTCTCCCCTTTCCACTTTCTTTCTCATTCCCCTCCCCTAACTTTCTGAGCATAATTATAGACTTGTGAATTTTTAAAAATTCACTAATTGGTGTGTTATAATAAATCATCATAATTGTTATTTTCTCCCATATTTGGCTAGTGGGAGCTCCTTTAAACTGCCCTAGATGTGAGCTCAGCTATTTCTACAAGTAGCCCCTATTCCTTTTAACAGAGAATGGTGTTTAGAAACCAAGACCTGGTTGTAAGAGGTGACCATTGATACTGAAATGTTATTGCTTCTAGGTCCTTTCAGTGGACAGAGCTAGGAAATATGAAGGTTTTTTTTTTTAAGTCATCAATTTACACAGTTAACTTCAATTTACATTTCAGTGTCACAGAGATCTCCCTTACTTATCCCATTTTACATTTGTATCTCTCTTCTCCTGAACAAAAACCCTGTTTTCCACCTCATCAGTATCTTTACTCATCAGCTCTATCCTTCAGTTGGTATTACACCAATACTACAACACTAGTAAGTCTAAGTAAACTTCAGAATTTCTTTGAAATTATTTTTGTCCTTAGAATATATCTCACTAAAGCAGCCGTGGGAAAACTACGGCCCGCGGGCCGGATCCGGCCCGTTTGAAATGAATAAAACTAAAAAAAAAAAGACCGTACCCTTTTATATAATGATGTTTACTTTGAATTTATATTAGTTCACACAAACACTCCATCCATGCTTTTGTTCCGGCCCTCCGGTCCAGTTTAAGAACCCATTGTGGCCCTCGAGTCAAAAAATTTGCCCACCCCTGCACTAAAGGATATACACTCAAAGTACTGTGCTTGAACGTTACTTGAATTATTTTTCTAAATATCCAGTTAGAATAATTTGTTTCTGTTTTATTCAGTATGAAGGTTTCTTTTTCATCCTTTCTGATGTCTCATTCCCATTTCTATCCCATCTACCCTGTTCTCACCAATCCTCTATAGGATGAAAGACTCTTCAGGTTTGACTTCTGAGCCATGTAAATGTTTCCCTTAAAATTAAACAAAAAAGGATGATCAATAAATAATGACTCTATCCTTAATGATGCTCTTTGCCTTATGTCTGGTATTGTTTCTATACCAGTTTTCTTTTGCTAGGTTTTCAGTTTGCCTGATTTTCTTTTTCTATCTTCTTTAAACTTCAACTTATGTGTGATTATGTGTTTTTTTTTTAAATATTTTTTTATTGATTTCAGAGAGGAAGGGAAAGGCAGAGAGAGATAGGAACATCACTGATGAGAGAGAATCATTGATTGGCTGCCCCCTCAAGCCCTACACTGGGGATTGAGCCTGCAATGCAGGCATATGCCCTGACCAGGAATCAAACTGACCTCTTGGTTCATAGGTTGATGTTCAGCCACTGAGCCATGCTGGCTGGGCTGATTATGTTTTAAGTGATTTCTTAAGTATACAATTTGAGAATCCTATTTTCATCTAGGTAACTTTGTGATTACTTATGTGTTTGAATTGTTTTCTGCTCTCTTATCTTTTTGGCTTCTTTGTGTGTCTGTGTGTGTGTGTGTGTGTGTGTGTGTGTGTTTTATTGTGTTGATTGAGTTATTTTTACTTCATTTTCTTTCTTTCTAATTATGTGAAAGTGATACACTTTATATCTCTTCTTTATTGGTCATCCTCGTCACACTATTAGTTTGCATCGAGTATTCAGTCAAATAGCTATACCTCTTTCCCACATTACCTAACAAAACAGGTTTGTTGAATTCTGTATTTTCACGCGTAATTTTTTTTTTAACTGAAGCAAAGGAGACTGTTTATTCTCTCTCCCACAATTTTATAACCTTAGTTTTAGAAGTAAGGGTCTCAAGCATACTGTAAGAAGAAAGGTTGACAGGGAATTGGACTCAACCCAGGGATCTAAGCATGATTGAGGGCAGGGATATTATTTTAATTACTGCTCTATCTATTATGCCTAGAAAAGTGTCTGTGCGTTAGTGAGCCCTCAATAAAGATATTAGTTGAATGAATAAAGTAGAAATAGTTAGTCTGGAGAATGAATGGGGTGGAAGTGGGATGCAGGATAGGAGACATTTGGAAACTTTCCAGTTTGAAGGACATGCATGTTGAACAGACATGCTACCTGTTTATTATGGCCCGGAGGACTGAAGTCAGTGCTCCACTAGGGAAACAGAGCTGCCCACTCTCAGGGTTGTGTGGAGGGGTAGTGTGGGGCTTCGTTACATTGTCAGGTCCCAGACTTTATTCCAGGAAGTCTGCTAGAGATAAACTGGGATTAAAAAGTCCTTAATTGTTCTGGAATACATGTTCCATCTAAGTAGGTGGAATACATTGCCATCCTTATTTTACAGCCAGACTTAGGCACATGGTTAAATTGGGATTTTCAATTTAGACTTGTCCAGTGATCTTAATGTTGCTAGTATAGTGATCATTTAACAGCACAACACTCTGAATATCCATTCACAGCAGTCAGTCACTCTGTGTGCCTTCTTAGTAATCCCAAATGTCCTAGCATTCTCAGTTTTCTGTTTGGGCAAATTAAAAAGGCAATAAGTAGGTAGATCAGTTGTATGGCTTGCATATTTTGTCTTTTCTATAGCAAAGCGAACAGTGAAAGGCAACTTTCATAATTTCTCTGAATTTTGTTTCTTCATGTTTTTTCATTTGATTATGGAATTTTCTTAAGACAGTTTGATTTAGATGTTTTCTGGGAGTGATATACAAATTGGGACAAGGAAAATGTTGTATTAGCATCTGAAAATCTAAATTAGTGTCTTGAAGGATGCTTATAACAAAAATATCTCTTCTTTTTCCCTTAGGGCTGCTGCTCAGAGTAAATTAGGTCACTACACAGATGCAATAAAGGATTGTGAAAAGGCAATAGCAATTGATTCAAAGTACAGCAAGGCCTATGGGAGAATGGGGTAAGTTCTGGGAGAACGTTCAAAGTAGCACCAAGTTGTATCAGATATGCTGTTCTTACTGGCTTGATTTTGAATTTCCTGCTTAATATTGCATCTTCTCAACTTACAAGAAGATAAATATAACACTGAGTGAGGAAATGACTGCAGTTTCTGTGACTTGGGCGAGAGATGATTGAAGATGTATGAAGAATGGTTGGTTGGTGGAGAAAATCATATAACCATAATGAGTCGACTCACTTCATGTTGAAGACACAGATCTCATGAGCACCCAGTATTTTGGGGCAGACAGTCCTAATAGATACTTCCTTCTAAGCGCACCTTACCACTCTGAGTTGAGTGCTTCACACCTACTCTTCTCTCTTCAAATTTTCTCTCCATCCTCCATGGTACTCTTAGTTGATGATATTACTTTATACTTCATTGAGAAAATGGGTGCATTTAGAAGAAAAATAGCTCTTCTTCCTGCTGCCAAATCCACTGATCTACCTGCATTTGTATCTACACAGACTGCCTTTTCTCCTGTTAGAATGGAAGGGTTCTTATCTAAGACTGGTGCCTTCATGCATGCTTTAGATCTCATCGCTTTGTACCTTCTCTAGGGCTTTACATTTGTAATCATCTGCTTTATCTTTGGCAGCACTAGTTTTCCTGTCTGTAACAGCGATAATAACTGCATGTGAAATCGTCAGAGAATTATCCTTGGAACCATCCTTGCACACAGCTACGTCATTTGTCAGTTCCTTTCTCTACAAAGCCCCTGATAGCAGTCTGCACTTCCTACCTCATCTTCCTCATCTCTCATTTTCTCTTCAGCTCATTCTGATAGGGCATTTGTCTATATCACTCAACTGAGAGCTCTATTCAAGGTGACCAATTGTTCATATTGTGCTAAGGCCAAAGGGCAATTCTGTATCCTCACCTATCCACCTTTTAGTATATTGCATGATTAGCTTATTTTGAAAACCTTCATACTCTAGGCTTCTGTGACGCCACACATCTTGGTTTTCCTTCTACTTTACTGTTCTTTCCCAGTCTCCCTTACTGCATCTTCCTTTTCTACCAACTCTAATGGTGCACTTCAGAGCTCTGTCCTCTCTTCTGAGGCTGTTGTCTGTCTATTCTCTCTTCTGTTTTCATACTGATGCCTTTAAATTCCACTTAAAGTCTATATTAATTATTCATGGGTTCTGTATTTATGAATTCACCTACTTGCTAAAAAAATTTTGATAACCCTAAAATCAAGTCACTGTGCTTTTGTGTTCATTCAGTGTGGTGAAAAATTTGAGTCACCTGATGTGCAAGGTCTCAGCTGAGGTGCATAGGCCATACTCTGCCTTTTTGTTTGAATTCGCATGCTGTAAACAAGTGTCCTCTTTGCAGTTTACTTAATGCTATATTTTTTGCATTTTTGTGTCTTTTGTTGTTGATTTCCCTGTTTACAATGGACCCAAACATAGACTGAAGTGTTGAAAAGGGTTCCTAAGTGCAAGAAGGCTGCAATGTGCCTTTCAGAAAACATACACGCTAGATAAGTTTTGTTCAGGCATGAGTTAGTGCTGTTGGCTGTCAGTATGATGCTAATGAATTAATAATATATACTAAATAAGGTTTCTTTAAGCAGAATCACATATAAAAGAAGATCATGTATCGAACATTTGATGAGAATGTTGTGACCAAAACCTCACAGGAACTTAACCCTGTATTTCCCCTAGGAATGATTGTTTAGTATTTCTTAAATCAGTGTTTGTGGGGACTTTATAGAGCATAACTACTCTGAATAATGAGAATAAACTCCATATGTTGATGGATCTCTTAATTTACTGTATATTTTATATACAGTAAATTCATATTTTATATGTCTGAATTCCATATCATATTAACTTCTTTTCATCTGTTTATATGTTTAACTAGAGGGCTGGTGCACGAAATTCGTGCACGGGGAGGGGGGGACTCCCTCAGCCTGACCTGCACCCGCTTGCAATCCAGGACCCCTCAGGGGATAACCAGCAGTCAGACATCCCTTTTGCAATCTGGGACTGCTGGCTCCTAACCCCTCGCCTGCCTGATCGCCCCTGACAGCTCACCTGCCTGCCTGATCCCCCCTAACCACTCACCTGCCTGCCTGATCGCCCCTAACCGCTCGCCTGCCTGCCTGATTGCCCCTAACTGCCTCTGCCTGCCTGCCTCATCACCCCTAACCACTCGTCTGCCTGCCTGATCATCCCTAACTGCCTCTGCCTCAGCCCCTGCCAAAAGACGTCTGGAATGATGTCCAGAAGGTCATTTGGCTGTCCGGTCTAATTAGCATATTATGCTTTTATTATTATAGATAGGCATTTTAAATTTAACATGTCCCAAACAGGACTCTTATTCCCTTCTTTAATCTTTCCCATTTCAGGAAATATTACCATCATTCACCTACCAGTGCTTGGGTCAAGCATAGGAGTCATCCTTTATTCTTATTATACTTGACACATCTATCAGCAAGTCCTGTTAATTCTAGTTTCCACATACACATATCTTAAATTGAAGCACTGATTGCTACCTTGTTTATAACACTAGTCCAAATTGATATCTCTTCCCTGGGCTACCACAGCAGCTTCCTAACTGGTTTCTCTGCTCCCCCATCCCCCCCAACTAACACCCCATGTTGATCCTCTGCAAAAAAGCCAGAGAGAGCTTTCCAAAGCATAAATCAGATCATGTCGCTCCACGGCAACTAGAATAAAATCCAGACTCCAAACCCTAGTTCCATATTATCTGGCACCTGATTACTCCACATGATTACTCCACACTGCTTTCTGTGCTCTCTCCTCATCCGCCTTTGTCCTGTTCCTGGAGCATACCTCACTCGCTGGCTTGGTTCCCAGGCCTTTGTGTCTACTGCTGTTTCTATTTAGCATGCTACTCCCTGATCTTCATATGCCTGCTTTCTTCTCATCATTCAGGTCTTCTTAGTGTGGCTGCCTTTGAGCAGCTGCCCTATTCATTTTCTTAATATTACTCTTTTTTCTTTGCATATTTATTGTTTGCTTTCCCTAGGTAGAATGACATTTTCTTAAATTCAAGAACTTTATCTTCTTTCATTGTGGATTATAAAATAGTGTCTGGTGCACAGTAGGGCTTCAGTAAATATTTATTGACTGTTGATTAACTGAGGACTTTGATGAAGCATCTTTCAGGTTGGCTGGTAGAAAACTAATTAGGGTCTGAGAATTTTTCTGTGGTTAGGCACAGTATTTTATCCAGGTTGGAAGTCTGTGAGGTAAGCCAGCTGACTTGGTTTGTTAAAAACAAAAACCTCAATACTATATCTCCATTTATACCATTATTGTTTAGTTCTGAAGTAGTTTTCCAATAAATACATTCTAACTAGGTGGAGGAAAACAAAAATTAAATAACTAAATCTGTGACTGGGGTTATAATGTCTTAAGTTGTAAAGGATGCTAATTTTATCTAACAACTAGCATACCTTGTTCAGGAGTGCCCCACAGTCTATTTTTATTTTTTAAGGTGAATTGATATTGTGACTCTGTCTCTGCTAGAACATAGGAAGAGATTTCTGAAGCACAAATCTAGTTCAGAGTCCTGAAATGAGTTTAACACCATGGAGTTACATGATCACAGGACGGTTAGTTAGCTCACATCTATGTGGAGTTTAATCATTCATAAAGCAAGTTATTTCACATATGGAAGGGGGTAGGTAAGGTTCATTCCTAAGCATTAAGTTCATGGTTAATATAAGCTAGCCAAGATTGTCAGCAAGCAGAATGGAGAATCCAGACTTAGAGAATCTTGGAAATAGAAGGAATTTTAATGATACTCCTGTGAACCATAGTATAATGAATAAATTAAGTGTAATTTGGATTCTAGTTGAATACCAAGACAGCTGTTTGACTACGTTTGTGATATCTTGACATTCTTCAACTATATATTTTATACCCATATACTTTATTCTTTTCAGGCTGGCCCTCACTGCCATGAATAAATTTGAAGAAGCAGTTACAAGTTATCAAAAGGCATTAGATCTTGATCCTGAAAATGATTCCTATAAGTCAAATCTGAAAATAGCAGAACAGAAGTTAAGAGAGGTATCCAGTCCTGTAAGTTATTAATGCTGAATGAGTGAAATATTTTCTGTCATTCACAATTTACTGTAATCAGATTGTAGTGGTTAGAATAATCCTCATATATAATTCTTTTACAGACAGGAACTGGATTGAGCTTTGACATGACTAGCTTAATAAATAATCCAGCCTTCATTAGTATGGTAAGTATATTTCCCTTTATGCTTTGCTGGCTCTGTTTTTCATGAAGCAATATAGTTCTAACACATTTTAGAAACAAATAAGGGAGCTTTTGTAGCGGTGGAGGTGGTGGTGGTAATAGGACGGTGATGTAATGCTATGGCTGAGATTTTAAACCTGCCAGTGTATCTGTTTGTGAGAAAGTCATGGATAGACTTCAGGAAACCAATGGATTCCCTGAAATTGTATATGAAAACTTGTGTACAAGTGGCTATGTGCATTTTTTTAGGGTGAGAACCATATTTTTCATTAGATTGGCACATGGATCTGCAAATTTACAAAAGGGTGAAGACCACTCTTACAAGAAAATGGCCCTAGGAAGATATCTAGTAACTGAGTTCTGAGGATTTGGTTATTGTGGTTCCCTATGCTCTCCTTTCAACATTGTCTGCTTCCTTTCTATTTTAATTTGACTTTTTAGTATAACCTATAATAATAAAAGCATAATATGCTAATTAGACCAGACAGCTGAACAACCTTCTGGATGTCCTTCCGGACAAAGCCCCAGCAGCAGGGGCTGAGGTAGAAGCGGTTAGGGGCGATCAGGCAGGCAGGCAGACAAGCAGTTAGGAGCCAGCAGTCCTAGATTGCGCGAGGGTGCAGGCCGGGCTGAGGGACCCCCGTCCCTCCCCATGCATGAATTTCATGCACTGGGCTTCTAGTTCATATATAAACTCCATTCTTCAAACCAACAATATTACTTATAGATCTTTATGAAAACACACATGCTCTGGTATATATAAACTCTGGTTTAGTGCATCAAGGATGTTACCTGGGTATATAAAGTTCCCTGGGTGACTGTATACTTCTGGCTGAGAACTAGACTACCAGATGCTATGCCCCTTGAAGGCAGTAATACTTCTTTGTTTCCTTCAAAAAATGTCTTGTATCCACTACATCTTCAGCTGAATTGAAATACAGATGGCGCATTCCTAGTGAGATAAAAAAGTCTTTTTGAACAATTGGTAGGTTTGTAGCAATTGGTAGTTTAAAATTGTTAGTTGAAGTCTTTGTAGACAGTAGTTGTCTTTTAATCACTGATCCTAAATGAGGTGTTGGGAAAGCCACCACTTGCTTTTATTACCAGAAAAATACTATTGAAGTGACTTGCAAGTAATTCAATAACTCTTGAGTCTCAGGATTGGGGCCAAATTTAAGATGGTCTTGCTACCTAACTAGTAAATGTATGTCTCTTTATAGGTTTTGTGACATTTTTGAGCATTGTTACTCATATCTAGGTCTCAGGTTATGCTATTGTAATAGGATGTGAAAATGGATTTTAGTTTCCAATTCAGCTTATCCCTCAAGATGCTTGAAGCGAGGTGTGAGACTATCATACAGGAGGTGCAGAAGGTGGAGCTTAAAAACACTTTGTGTGACATTCTAAAAAGGGTCAGGTTGATAGAGATTAAAAGAGGATTTGGGGGGACAGCCATTGGAGTTACTACTGTCTACACAGATTTAGGCTCAATTAAAAATTTACATGAATATTGTTGACTAAAAATTTGAGGCAAAAAAATTGTTTATGCTTTCAAAATGTAGTTTTAATGTATATGTGTGTATAAATACAACTCCCCTCCCCCTTAGCATGGCAAGAATGGAAGCTATTAAGCCCATGGAATCAGGTCACATGTCTTACAGTACTCTTTTGAAGTGAAGCCTCTCCAGTGTAGGAGATGCTTTATACTTTTCAAGTTCCTATTTCTCCATTTGGCATTATTGATCTGATCAGTAGTAATAAGTTAATATCTGTAGTTTATCATGTTTGTAGTCTCTCTACCTTTACAAACTATTTTAAATGCCATCATTTTCTAGTACCTTTTTTATATTTCCATTCACTTTATATAGCACACTAAAACTTTACAGAATGTTAGTACACACATGGTGCAGCTTTCATTTTTCTGTTTTTTTAAAAAGAAATCTTTGTTAAAGATCCCTAAATATTAACTATCTTTAATGGGAGATGCCATTTTTGAATTCCAGGCAGCAAGTTTAATGCAGAATCCTCAAGTTCAACAGCTGTAAGTATATAGAACGAGCATACTACATTTCCCCCTTCTACTTGCAAGCTCCTAATTTGGGCACATTAGCTCCCAAATGAAAAAAACTACCGAGACTGCCAGTAATTGGCACTTAAAGTCACACACATTTAGCCTAATGCTTACATCAGGGGTCCTCAAACTACAGCCCGCGGGCCACATGTAAATACAAATATTGTATTTGTTCCCGTTTTGTTTTTTTACTTCAAAATAAGATATGTGCAGTGTGCATAGGAATTTGTTCATAGTTTTTTTTTAAACTATAGTCCGGCCCTCCAACGGTCTGAGGGACAGTGAACTGGCCCCCTGTTTAAAAAGTTTGGTGGGTATATTTAATTCTTTTCCTTGGCCAGTATCCTCCTTGTTAAGACTATATGCCAACCCAGTGATTTACCTCTTGCCTACTCTAGAATGTCAGGAATGATGACAAATGCCATTGGGGGACCTGCTGCTGGAGTTGGGGGCCTAACTGACCTGTCTAGCCTCATCCAAGCGTAAGTGTTACTTGAAATAGAAATAGTTAAAAAGTGTTTGTCTTACAGTTTTTTTGTAGTTAGAAAGTTTTTAAAAGTACTTTATGTTTTATAGTTTGTCTCTAAAGTGAGGGGATCAGGACTTTTTTTTCCAATCCTCTCCCTAAGACATTTTTCCATTGATTTTTAGAGAGAGTGGAAGCGAGGGAGGAGTGAGAGAGAGAAACACCAATGTTGATTAGATGCCTTCCGCATGCAGCCTGACCTCGGCCGGGAATCAAGCCTGTAACAGACTTATGTGTCCTTGACTGGGGATCAAACCCACAACCCTTTGGTCCTTGGGCTGATGCTCTAACCACTGAGAAGCTGGTGGAGGCAGAGGCTTTCCTTTTGAATTTTTATCATTTACTGTATCAGTGGCCTCACTAGTTATTAAATTTAAAAGTAGTTCATAAGTTGGGATTTTCAGACTGAAGGGCAGGAATCCACTCAAGAAAACGTTTTTCAGCAGATTTGAATAGCTACTCAAGGATGGAGATAGAAGTCAAGTAGCTACTCAAAATCTGCATTGACTTAGGTAAACATATATATTTAAAAATCAAATTTTACATATATATCAATGTTCAGACAATCTAGGACAGAATTTTAGCCAAACTCTTCAGTGCATGTCATCACTAGAGGAACTTCTTGCATCACCTCGTTTCTTCACTTCCACCAAGTGCTTAAAATAGTCTGCTCCTTGAATCTGTGTGACGCCGTCACTGCAGATTTTACCCGAAGCCACAAGTATCAATTACTGTTTTGCAGTTATGGCCATGTTGCCCCATTTGCAACATTGCATTTTCAGAATGATCTTTAAGTGGCATGATTATAGCAATGTCTAACGCTCCCAATTGCGGGTCACATATCAGGAATCGTATTAAATTTCTCTAACTTTTTAAAAATTAGTTCTATTCAGTGACTTCTATACACATCCCCACATGGGTGTACCATCCTGTCATAGGGAAGACTTGACTACAAGAGCAAATACCTTGTAATATGTTTGAGCACACACAATAAAAGCACATACTTTTGGACCCTTTGTTTATTCGTGGTTAGGCACTAGAGGGGGGTGTATTCCCCTAATCCAGGACCTTTTTGGCTTGGGTGTTTTGCTTCCTATAAAGAACAATGCCTTTTAATAATGCTATATGGAGGCAATGGTAAACTTGCAGATACTACAGTTGTGATTCTAAAACTTGTCTTTCTAGAACTTCCCTTTGAGTAGCACCCACATCCTTTGCAGTCCATGTTTATGAGTATTGTGTGGCTGGGAATTCCCTAATTCACACCACTTTGCCCTTTCACTTCCAGGGGACAGCAGTTTGCTCAGCAGATACAGCAGCAGAACCCTGAACTCATAGAGCAACTGAGAAATCACATCCGGAGCAGGTCATTCAGCAGCAGCACGGAAGACCACTCCTGACTCTCGATCAGGGATTCTAGACTGGAAACGGTTACTGCTCTGAAGTGTTTGCTGTAGATAGTGGCCAAAAAACAAAACAAAAAACCTACAGAATACATCTGTGTAGACAATAGGTTTATCACAAACAGACTTCACCGTCATGTGACTCCTTTGTACACGGTCACTCAACAGGGTTTCATCTTCACATCCTCATCGTCATATCTGTATGCTAGACTTAACAGCAGGAAGGCTGTTTACTGGTGAGTGCTCTGGCTCCCAATTCCCTTCAGCAAACTTTCTGAGAGGGAAGATGACCAAGAGGAAAGGTTTCACATGCTGGGTTAAGAGCAACGTGCTTGCCAATGAGCAGCACGTCTGGAGAGAACTTTGACATCTAGGTTTAGCCTTGAGAATGCCATCAGTGATGAATATATGTCACAGGAGCCAGCACTGTCTTTAATGCTGCTCATTTTAATGGGTGGCAGGGAGGCATCAGAGCTGGTAGAAAGCAGAATTTGGTGGAAGAGGAGTTTGAAAAAAAAGAATAGATGCTGTGAATGTATAGAAAGTGAAGGTGGGTAGGATGCTCAGGTTTTTGCCTAGTTTTTAACTAATTTTGCCTGTAGTTTGGTATTTATAACATTAGCATGGCTAATTATACTGTGTACATAATAAAATACATTTAGAAATCCTTAATGGTACTGGTTAGGCCAGTTGTATAATTATTCAGTTTAACTAGCACAACTTCCCCAGTGGTGACCTTACCATGAAAACTCAAATATACCTACATTTAAATAAGCCAATGGCTTGGCTCTTAAGTTAAGGATTTTCTAAGTGGCATTTAATTATGTGCCCATAAACACTGATTTTTTTTTTTTAAAAAAACACCTCAGTAATTATTTGATAGAATACAGAAAGCATCTGTCATTAACAGTGCTTGTTCGTGTAATCCTCTGCTATGATTTGGTTTGGCATGTTGCTTTTATGCTTAACTTAATTTGATGCAACTTAAACATAATAGGGGATTTAAAATATTACATTTAAACTAGAATACATATTAGTGGAGAGAAGTGGCATTGTTTGGTATTAATGGTACGGCTCTAACTATAGTGATGGAGGAGGCTGTTCTAATTGGAATTTCTTTTGTTAATTATGAAATAGGTAAAGTTGGGCAGACACATGGTGTTGCAAGTGTTGTGAGAAAAAACTGAAAAAGAATGTAATATTAAATTAGTAATACTGATAATAGGGCATTATTAGAACTATTCTCCTCAAAAGAGAGTAAAGTTTAAAAACCTTTTTCTCTCTTTCCCTTTGTGAGATTAGACTAATGGTTCTATAGTTTCACTGTAAGAGTCACCTGGTTTATTTGCTGAAGATGCAGATTCAGGACCACACTTTCAATTTTTATTTAATAGGTCCTGTAAAAAGGCCTAGGAAGCACCATTTTAAACAGTACAAGGTTAGAGATTTCTCCTCAGTTTGACCAGCAAATACCTAAACCCCACTCTGGGCTTAGGCCACAATGAAGACTTAAATGAACTTACAGTTCTGTCCAGAGAAGAGAAGGACTTAAGTCTTAGGCCCCCTGAATTAAATCTCTATTCCATCTAAACCAATATAATTTTTCATAAATTCAGCTCCTAGTGTCCAAGGATTATACAGAATGAAGGACTAATTATATGAATATGATGACATTGATGAAAAGAAAGCAAAGCTGATCCTTAATTAAAAATCAGTCACTGTTATCCAGTGTTGAGTAAGAAAAAGTTTCTAGCATAGCTATCTTGAGTGCATTAAAAATGCTTTCAGCCCTGGCTGGTGTGTTCAGTGGTTAGAGTGCGGGCCTGAGCACCAGAGCAGCAGTTGCCAACCTTTCGGACCTCACAGACCACCAGTGGTCCGCGGCCCGCCGGTTGACGACCGCTGCACCAGAGGGTCCTGGGTTTGATTCCTGGTAAAGGGCACGTACCTGGGTTCGATCCTCATCCCCCTGTCAGGGCTCATGTGGGAGGCAACCAATTGATGTGTCTCTCTCACATCGATGCTTCTCTCTCTTCTCCTTCCACTCTCGCTAAAAAAAAATCAATGGAAAAATATCCTCACTCCTTGGGTGAGGATTAAAAAAATGCTTTCAGATTGATAAACTAGTAAGCCTCTAGCTCACTGACTAGGGAAATAGAGAACAGACAAATCAACAACATCAGAGGTGAAGGAGGGGATATCAATGCAGACATTAGAAAATACCACAGGATCATTAGAAAATACTACAACCAACTTTAGGTCTATATATTCAACAATATTAACTTAAAAATTTTTTTTTTGTAAGATAGCTAAGGCTCATTGAAGAAACAGATATCCTCCAGAAAAGAAAGCTCCAGTCCCAAACAATTTATTTCAGTGAGGAATTCTATCAAAAGTTAAGGGAGAAATAATATCAAGCTACACAATCTTCTAGAAAATAGAAAAGGAGAAAGTACCTCACAACTCATTTTATATACCTATTAATCTGATACCATTATCAGACATTATAAGCAGAACCCTTTACATCAATGTCTTGATTTGCTAATATCTGCTGTGATGATTACTTATTTACAATAAGTAATAGGAATTGGTGTATTTATTCCTTTTTACCTCCTAGATTGTTTCTTTGCTAATCTACTACCCATACCAAATTCAGTCTAAATGATAGCAGTTCCCTCACCTGGATTTCCATCTGATTCAAGCCATTTTTGCTCAAGTATCTTCCTCACTTTGGAATCACTCCATTTGAAGAAAGTTTTGTGTAGTTGGATTGTGCTAGCTACTCTTAAGATTGTAAGAAATGCCCCGAATATTTTATTCTTTCTTATCTGAAACAGGGCATTAAGGTAAATATTTATATACAATCTACTTAGGAATAACTGCTTACATTAACCACATTTCATTGTAGTAGCTGTAGCTATGAAGCTATGTAAAACGTAAAGTATCTTTTTTATGCAAATGACACTTTCATTTAATGTAACAAATTGTTTATCTAATTTTTATAATGTGGTTTAAACAGATCCTTTCTAAAATAAGATTGTCTTTTATTTAAAGAATGAACAATATGTGTCTAGGTTATTGCTTGTAAAAAGAGACTTTGTAATCAAATCATATAGCAGATTCCAAGTGACCCATTATATGCTACTTTTTAAATTTGAAACAGAGTGAAACTGAAGGTTTGATCATGAGAAGATGCTTGAAAAACCATGGACGTACCCAGTGCAGTGGCTATAAAGTCTTATTTATCATTTAATCAATCTTATTCATTTTGGAAGAGAGAGATATTTTACACTGCTTACACTTTATCTTGTACAGACATTTCACTAATTATTACTCCAATTTAAGGGGCAAATCTCACTTCGAATATAGCTTTCATTTTGGACCAATTTGTCATGGCAATAAATAATTATGCATTTAAGAAAAAACAATTATTGTATTTGACTTAATGTACTCTTACATTTAAGCAATTTTACATATATATATATATATATATATATATATATATATATATATATATATATATATATATATATATGTGTGTGTGGCCAGCTTGGGAGGGCGCTGGGGTGTGTCTAGCCCATCTCACTCATTCCCGATCAGCCAGACCCCAGCAGCAAGCTAACCTACCAGTCGGAGTGTCTGCCCCCTAGTGGTCAGTACACGTGATAGCAACTGGTAGACCAGTCGAGTGTCTGCCCACTGGTGGTCAGTGCACATCATGGTGGTTGAGCAGCCTTAGCAGATCATTAGCATTAGCTTTGGTTGGTTGAACAGACAACCGGACACAGCATATTAGGCTTTTATTATATAGGACATCTTTACATTTTCACTTACCAAAATAAGTGTTTATTTAACAGCATAACCTTTTATTTTCCTGACAAAATATTGAAAACATACTCATGTTGCAAAGTTGTTTTCAATCTTTTTCACTATTTTATTCAAGGTATAAGTAAAATTAGTGTTATATGCAGAGGTAGAAAGTTTTATAATATTAATACATGATTTAGAATTCAAAGTCAAATATCAGAAGCTGTAAATTCTTTAAATATGCCTATGAAATTAGTGGCTGTTTTTATGGGGAAAAAAACCAGGATTTTGGGACTTAGAAGAGTCAAGCTTCTTAGTTAAAAGTTAAGAGAGTAAGCAATATTCTAAGAATTAAAACCAATTCTGATCTGCTGTTGGTAACTGAAACTTAGACATGTGCGGGTCTATATGTATACACTAACACAGATACTCACCAATACACTAATTTTGAAAACAACTAGAAGAATTCATACTCTGTTAGTAAATACAAGGCTATTCGAGGACCACCTCAGTTGTTTTAAACAACTTTTTCTGTTAACTGAGGAGCTAGGAAAAATCTGGACTTAACTGAAATATTACTGAATAACATATAAAAATTCTTAAGTTTTAAAAAACAGTTGTTGCTCTAGCCGGTTTGGCTCGGTGGATAGAGCGTCAGCCTGCGGACTGAAGGGTCCCAGGTTTGATTCCGGTCAAGGGCATGTACCTTGGTTGCAGGCACATCCCCAGTAGGGGGTGTGCAGGAGGCAGCTGATTGACGTTTCTCTCTCATTGATGTTTCTAACTCTCTATCTCTCTCCCTTCCTCTTTGTAAAAAATCAATAAAATATATTTTTTAAAAAAAGAGAAAGAAACAGTTGTACCTCCTAGATCAAGGTCAGCAAACTATGGCCTGCAGGCTGGCTGCCTGATTTGTAAAACCCACTGTGCTCTTTTGGCCAAGTGGCTGCTCTCGCACCACAACAGAAGAGTGGAGTATCTTCAATAGAAATCACATGACCTGCAAAGCCTAAAATATTTAATATCTGGCCCTTTACATAAAAATTTTGCTGATGCCTGGTCTAGATACTTGCTAGGGACAAATGGCCTCAAATATAGAGCTTTTAAAGAACACAGTCCAATGGTCATCTAAATGAAACAAATAGGATATGTGTAGAAAATGTACAAATGTTTCTTTAAAATATAACTCACAAAATATAATCAGTAGATGGGTTTTTTCAAAACAAATATTTAATATTTTAACTGTTTTACAGGAAAGAAATTTAAATAGCATACTTCTTTTTACTGTTGACTTGGTCATTTTACAAAGGTGACAAAAAATACAGAAAGTTCTGTGAAACTCAATGAAAAAGCATAACATTGGAAATTTTCTTCAGCTTTCCACTTTAGTGGCCGAAGATACCACACAGACTTGTGCGATGTCATCATATTCATATGTTCTCTTTAAAAACGTGTCTGTTAGTCTTAAGCCGGAGACGCTCTATTGAGAGAAAAATATAGGCCCAAGTTTTCATTCAATGGTAATTACTAGAGAAAGTATGGATACAGTACATGCGATGGGCTAATAGCTCCCAAATACTGAAATAATTGAAAAGATAACATACTTGCAGTCCCTGTACTGAAGACAGTAGAGTAAGGGCAAGGCAGAGAGAGGAACTTGGATGCAGCTTTCCAAGCTGTCTTCCTGAAATGCCGCACCAGTGGATAGAATTGGTATTGCACATTTCCAAAACTAGGTCCATAGTCCTTTCACTGCTGGGGGAATCAGAAAAATAGGAATAAATCTTGTTCCTTTCACAAGAAGGATGGGACATTCTTGCATTACTGCCAGTGAATTTGTTTTTTGGGTGTCCAGGAGAATTAAAAGCCAGAAACAAATTAAAATATATCATTTTTATTTCACTTATGACAGAGTCAGGAAAATGAAAGAAGATAGCATCTTCTAGGGTTAGTGTCACTGAGACTAATTTGCCTCTCTGGTTGTTGGCCTTCTGGTTCTATTACTAGACACCTGGCTCCCTGCTTTGCCACTTCTCTGGGAGACTTCCAGACATCTGTGTCTAATCTTGGTGCTATGCATCCTTCCTATTTCTGTTAGGTAATCCGCAGGAAATAGAATAACAAACGGAGACTGGTCCAGTGCTTTTCCTATTTATGTTTCTTTAACATGGAGGTAACACAGAAAATGACTGACATGATTTATAAGAAGTAAAAACTATTCAGGTTTGTTCACTGTTAACATAAAAAGCCTGCTTCTGCTTACAATTGATATAATCAGTTCAGCTTAAATATGTTAAAACAACTTTTAATGAAAGTATACATGTTGTTTAAAAAAACACACAAACCAAAGGCTCATAATGAAAAATACTCTACCACCATTCATGACTACCTTCAACTCTTTTTTTTTTCATAGTTGGCTCCATATTTTAAAATATTTACTTAAAAATTAATTTATTGATTTTTAGATATAATAATTTAATGGTACTTAGCTTTTATAGGCCTCTGTCTCCTAAATAAACATTTGAAATGTCTACTGTACCGCAGACCAGGTTAGATGCACTACATGAATTTTCGCATTAAGTTTCACAGAAACCCAGAAACTATGTTGACAGCATTTTGTCATTTGGCCAATAATGGATTTGCTATACCTCAAACATCTTGAAAGAAGTGAACAAACAAACAAACAAACAAAAAATCCAAAACCCCACTGTAAATGCGCAGGGTCTTTGCCTTGTGTGTGTTGCCTCCAAATGTGGCCGGCAATACTGGGTAAGACATGGGCCCTTCCCTTGAATAATTCACAATCTAGTGAGGAAAAGACTAGTTATTGTAGCAATATATGAGTGTCACTAAAAAACTGTATTAAACTTTGCTGTAAGAGAGAAAAGGATATTAACTGTGCATGGGAGGGTCTAGGTGGCTTCATAGGGGAAGTAGGTATTTTTTTAAGTTTTGAAGGATGACTATTTCCTAGCTCCCTCAAATATCGTAAGGTGGGAATGAAAATGGATTAGAAAGAATTATATATTCACACAGTGAGGGCTGGGACTCATCACTGAAATATTCTTAAAATGCCCCAAATAATAATACCAAGTAGTAATAGATGGAGTACCAAAAGTGACAGGACTGGGATTTAATCCTAGGTTTTTCTGGCTTCAAAGCTCTGGGCTCTGCTTTCTAATAATTAGATTATACTTTCCCTTTATTATCAAAGTCCTGTTTTCCAATCTATGGTTATCCCTTATATTAAATTCATAACCTATTTTTACTTTCTTGATACTAAAGACATACCTCCAGTGTAAGTATAGCTCAGAAAAATCCGCCTTGTTACATTAAATCTGTAATATACTAGAGGCCCAGTGCATGAATTCGTGCACAGGTGGCGTCTCTCGGCCTGGCCGGCCATTGGAGCAATTGGGGCCATCTCGCCCAGTTCAGGGGGAAGGGCAACAGGAGGTTGGTCGGCCAGGGTAGGGACTGTGGGAGGTTGGCCGGCCGCCCTGATTGGAGCTGACTGGGGCTGGCAGGCTGGGGGCTAGGGACCACGGGAGGTTGGCTGTGGGAGTGCACTGACCACCGGGGGGCAGCTCCTGCATTGAGTGTCTGCCCCCTGGTGGTCAGTGTGTGTCATAGTGACTGGTCATTATGGTCACTTAGGCTTTTATATATATAGATTATTCCATAAGAACCTACTATCTCATGCTTTAGTGATGTGAAGTGTGAGGGAAGTGTAAACAATGAAAAGAATATGGACTTTGTCAAATACACCCAGTTTCAAATTCTGACCCCATCTTTTCTAGCTCTCTGAGCTTAAATAAAGTCACTTAAACTCTGAGTTGGTTTTCTCTTGCATAGACTGAATAATTAATACCTACCTCATAGGGTATAATGCATGAATGTAATCAAATACATCAATTGCCAAATGCAGCACAACTTAAAAATATGTAATGTACAGATACCACATGAACAACTACAGTATTCAACATTAACGTCAGAAAAGGCTACATGTCAACAGGAAACTTAAAAGGTGACAACATATTTAAAAGACTTAAAAATTCTCTTTGAGGATTAAGAAGTTCAAAGTGGTAGTTATAAAAGTCACAGGGGCCAAAACTGGTTTGGCTCAGTGGATAGAGCGTCTGCCTGCGGACTGAAGGGTCCCGGGTTCGATTCCGGTTAAGGGCATGTACCTGGGTTGTGGGCACATCCCCAGTAGGAGATGTGCAGGAGGCAGCTGATCGATGTTTCTCTCTCATCGGTGTTTCTGGCTTTCTATCCCTCTCCCTTCCTCTCTGTAAAAAATCAATAAAAAATATTTAAAAAAAAAGTCACAGGGATGTAAAGTACAGCATACGGAATATAGTCAATAATAGTGTAATAACTATGTACGGTGCCAGGTGGGTGCCAGGAATATCAGAGGAACACTTTCTAAAGTATATGATTGTCCAACCACTATACTGTATACCTGAAACCAATACAAAATAATATTAAAAGTAAACTGTGATTAAAAAATAAAATATAACTTAGAAAAAAAGGGAATAAAAATTATCTTTTAGGTGGGTGAGGAGGAAAGGACATCTATCCACAAACATTGGCATTACCTGCAGTTTGTTATTTTACAGGTAATATG